CATTCTCCCTAGTCTTCCTTTTATCCCCGATGTACCTACAGAATCTTTTCTTGTTGCCCTTGATGTCCCTGGCCAGATTTACTTCTGTCAGGGTTAATCATGGACTGTAGAAGAAAACATTGGAGGAAGAGAAATATGAGTGGGAATATTTTTTGATCTTGAAAAGTATGTTTTCGTCTGTGCTGCCAGCCTGTACGCCAAGGAGGAGCGGTGAACCTCCTTGGAAGTCTGGGGGGATCTCTACAATCCTACAGCAGTGCTCAGCTGACACCACCATGCCCTGCCACAACACAGTTACCTGTTGCGTGCAGCACAACCCACGGGCTTGCTCAGCCACCGCAGACTACTCTCCTCCTGTTACACCTAGCACCATGGCTGCCTCGGTTTCCCTTCTGCCACTGGTCTGTCTAAAGCTCTCCTGTGTGCCTGTGGTGCATACACTCTTCAGATATATATGCTAATATTTTTCTGGTCCTTTTCACGGCGTGAGTCAGGAGGGGCTTTCTGCTGATGGTCTCCAAAATCCTGTATCAGTGGTCACGTCTGCTGTGACCAAACAAGTAGATGCTTATATTATAGAAAAGCAAAAAACCATGCAGATTAGCCTTAATGAGAAAATATCAGCCTTACATATGTTGGTACAGAAGGCACTGCAGAATTAAAGATGAACTCTTGCATGACTGTAATTTTTTGAAGTTCATCAGCTCCATGATATTATTAAATTACAGTTTCAAGAGAGATTTAAGAACTTTATATTAAAATCCTCTTTCTTAAAAAAAAAAAACCAACCAAAACCTAACCCTTTATTCTGTCATGCTAGAATTTAGTATTCTAGAGGAAAAATAATTTTTTTTTTTCCATTGGGGAATTTATAGATTGTTTCAATGTTCTGAAGTTTATCCAGAAGATCTTATTGTAAATAATTGTCTTTCCCCAGTTGTATTAATTACAATTTAAATATTGTTAATACCAAAATTAAATGCAGCAGAAATATTTTTTTCTCACAAAAGTAGATTAAAAAGTTCCGTATTTTTCTAACAAAATCTAATAATAGTGTTTTAGGTATTAGTATTAATGTTATGTACAAATTCGAAGGCAGATTGTCAAAATATAATTAGAAAGCTCTATGCAACAAATTAAATACACTCTAGTAGCATGGATGAAAAAAGCATCTGTTTTGAAGTACTTTCATTAGAAACTAGAAGACTTGAGTAGGGAAAATTAGATTTGTATGAGTTGGAATAAAAAAAAATGTAAGAATGTTAGCTGCAAAGAATAGGAAAATACCTATGGACCATGGAACAAGCAAAGTATCGTCTAGAATTTATGTCGAATAATATAAATAAACTATAATCTTCAATTTCTAAAAACCTTTATATATTTACTAAATATACCTCAAGTAATTATAGTTACATTATTCTTAAAACCTAATGAAAATGACTGATTTTAATAATTCCTTTCCGCATTTCACTCAGCTGGATGAATGCCTCTATGCCTTCAGCTCACTTTCACTTTCAGGCTTCTGTAGTAGCACGACTTTTGAAGCATCTATGGTGTTAAATACATCCATATTCCAATGTACACATTCCTAGTGTCAAGTGTGTTGATAGGTCGCGTTTATCTACTAGCCTGAAAATGATGCTTGCCATTAGGATCTCAATAGGTATATGTTCATTTAACAGCTTCCAGCTGTGGATTTTTTTGGAAGGCTGGGAGAGATATATATCGATATAGTCAACTATATGCTGTCTTAAAGTAAGGAAAAAAATTTTTTTGAGCTTGTTTTATCTTTCAGATTAGTAGTGGATGGCTGGAAAAAAGCAAGCATCTCCAAATTCTGTTAGTTAAGGGTATGCTATTGTCTGGGAAGGCTAGAAGCGTAATATTCCATGAGATTTCCAGTGCTCAGAGTCTTAGCTAAACTGCATAAATTACGAGAATTATTTTCTTTCAGTATTTCTTGTATTTCTACTTCAACTAACAGCTGCAAGCAATAATCAAAGAACCGGTTAATGACAGAAATTTTTTTAAAACATTTTTTTGAAAGAACTCTGGTCTGGTAGCTGAGTGTAAGTTGAGAATTGCTCTTGTAGTACTATATGGAAAACATGCCTACCGTTTGTAGTTAAACTTACCCTTCCAAACATACTTGACTCAACTCTGTTGAGTTACATTGCTTGTAAGTCAATGCACAACTTCTAAAGTCTCACAAATCTTCATGTAAATTTAATATTTTTGAAATTGCGGGATTCACAAATCCTGACAGCTTGAAGTATGTCAGTGTATGTATATATATAATTCTGTGTGTGTATATATACAGATGTATACACATATCTGCAAAACAGATGTGTCACATACTGCTCTTCCTGGTGAACTGTTTTCCAGAAGTGCAGAAGTTTTTTTCCTAGTGTGAAAGTATAGTTGTTTCTACCTGTAATCAGTGTTCAATCTGTGTTCTGCTAAGACTGCTAATATACAATTTTAAGAAAGATGTTGAAACACTAAGGCATTTTATTTAAGTTAATTAAAAAAAACCCTAGGAAATAAGCCTAAACGTCTCTCATTTGTTCAAAATGAACATGCATTGCAAAAGTGTTATTTGAAATTGATTTGCTTATTACTTTTACTTTTTTTTTCTTTTTTAAAAAAATTGTTTTGTTTCCTTTATTTGGTTTTGTTCTTAATCCTGAATCCAGCTTATATACTGGAAAGTAGCTTATGTTTATGTATTTCTCATTTGAGCAAAAAATACTGAAATCTTCACATGTATTAGTAATATTTCAATGTCACTTGCACCAGTGTTAATTTAAGCGATATAACTGAGATCATACTTGGCCTAACGTCTGTGTATGGGAGCTTTGCGGTCTGATTTATCTGCTGTGTTTGCTTGAGTAGCCTCTCATTTCAGCCAGAGTTAGGGAGACGAGAAGTTAGTAGCTGGTTGGTGTGGGCGGGTTGGTCGCTCCCGTTAGCAGCAGAGCTAACTAGGCAGCTTCTGTTTGAGAGAGACAGGGCAGAGAGGGAGAGAGAGCAGCTGGGTGAGGGACTGGTGCGCGCTGCACATGCTCAGGGCGCGCACCAGCTTCCCCGTGTGGTAAAAAGGGTCTTTGTATTTTGGGGGATGTCTGTGTTTTGCTTTTTCAAATGTAAAATTGTACATGCTTATTGGGGCTCTTTCTGCTTTGAAGTCAAAGGACAAAAAGTGCCCCTGCTTCACTGCACTGCTCCGGTTATGACTTTATTTCTGTTTTGAGATAAAAATTGAGGTTTAGTTCGAGTGTTCCAAAACCAGATACCACTCTCTCTCTCTTTCTTGTAGGCAGGGTGCTGCTGTGCCAGGCAAACCAGGAGGGATCTCCCGTGTACAGTGCCCCCAGTTCACTAGTATACACATCCACAAGTAAGCTAGTGTTATGGCTCTTTTTTTTTTGTTTTGTTTTGTGACAAAAGCACATTAATGTGAATTAAGCCCCCTACAACTGTAAACTTTCCCAATAGCTCTTGTAAATGTGATATTTATAAACGTGTGTAAGTAATGTCAACAGATAATTCGGTGTTTTTAGTTGCATCTTCATTCTCAAAAAAAAGTATATTTTATTTAAAAAAAAAAAAGACGGCCTATATTGCACTGTTCTACAGAAACGGTCAAAAGTTCTACAGTACCTCTGAAATTTTTTGGAATCCAGTACTGTTGCGCACTCTTGCATTTTGTGTAGAAGGTGAAGTTGTGTTTCTTTTTCCTTCCTGGGCACAACTTTGATTTAATAAACAAAAAGTCTCATATCATGCCATCATTTGATTGTGTCAGGAAGAAAATAGATATGAAGTCTTCTTTTACAAAAGGAAAAAGACTGTGTGCAAATGGGTGTTTTGAATTATAAAAAGCTGCCCTAATAAAAATAGCGAAGACAAACTGAAATGATAGATGCTGCCATCAGCTGTTTTTCTGTACAAAATTTGGGAATAGCAATGTCTCCTGTAAAATTCTGCAGCAGAAATGGAACCGATTCTTCTGAGAGTGTTTTAGACCATATTGGTGGTACCACTGATGCCCATTCTGAAATCTAGTGAGATGAAGAAGCCTCTAGCCGAATGAAATAGTAATAATTGCTGCTTGCTGAATTAGCGTGAACAGCAGCATTTGCTATGTGTTCTTAGCAGTCCTCTGTAAAGAAAATATTTAACGTTGTTAAATCAGACAACGTAATCGGATATGCTCTTTATGAAGATTCTATTCAATCCAGAATGCAATTCTGCTCTTTTAAAGCTTATCTAGACCGCTAAAATAACTAATTTCTTTTATTAATTAAAACCAGGAATGAGGACAAGAGAGTTCCATAGTGACCATCTCTACAGTCATGTAACTCTCTTATGTCAAAGACTATGAATATCATCCCTAGAGCTGCTGCTTTTACAGTATAAATATGGGCTCTACTTTCAAATCGGGGGTCTACAAATACATAGTGAACTAACAAAATATATGAAGTGTTTTAAATTGGAACTGAAATTATCAATTAAATCTGCATTTGCTTCCAGATGCTCCAAGAATATTTTGTGCTGTCACCTTTCCCAAGCAGTGTTTTTGGGGTTTTTTTAATCCTTGTAGTAACATAGAGATGAAATACTTCCTGTCTAAATCATTGTTCCCTATAGTACGTTTTTAGTGCACTATTCTTTTTTGACTGAAATACCAATCTTTGACTAAAATGCTCTTCCTAGAAAATTATCCAAACATTTAATTCATCTCACTGTTAGGGAGCTGCTTTTTTTTCTTTTTTTTTGTGGGGGGGAGGGGGGGCAGTGTTTGTTTCTTATCTTCTGGAAATTACTGTAAATAAAGCCTTTCATAAGTTTACCCTGTTGCTCCTATTGTCTCACTGAGTTCTATCCTAGGAAATTTATTTCTGGGGTTGCTGTTTACATTGTACAGTATTTCTACTATTATTAAATCCCTAGATAGTTACTGTATAGCTAGCTAAGCTCTATACTTCACTGTTTCCATTGTGTCTCATGAGTCAATGCCTTTGAAAAATCTTATTTTGCAGTGGTGCTCCTTGAATAATGATATCCTAACAAACACCTGTTTGTTTTCAATTATGCCAGATACATAAGTAAACAGACTTTGCCTATCTGCCTCCCACTGGGCAATGTGTAATATACAGTTTCATAACAGAGATTGCTAGTAGCCCTTGCAGTAGAAATTATTACGCTTTTGTTGAATCTGTGTGTCTGCAAGTCATGATTTTTCTTTTAATATGTGTAGTAATTCATATTGCCAAAATGTAGTTTCCCCCACAGGGTCACAACTCCTAATAATACAAAATTACTACAATTACTAATGATTGTAATTAGGTTTTTTTTTTTCTCCTTATTACAAAACTTTCAATAAAGATGTAAAATAGTTCCATTTCTATAGGAAATTCTACTAAGAAGTTAATAGAAATGAAGCTTGAGTTTTGTCTCATTTTCTTTCTTTTATTATTTTACAGATCTTCTATACTCCATTTTTTATGCACATTTGTAATATACAAATTTACTGTTATCATTCCATGCAGAGAACAATATTGCAGCCTTCATCTTTGAATAATTTGTTAATCATTTATTCTGTTACTGCCAGTATTGTAACCGCGTAATATTTTAGAACAGCTTACAATGTAAGAATTAAGAGGTTTTAAATTTGTAATTGTTTTAACAGAACTGAAAGAGTCAGCTGAGATTTTTAAAGCCATCTTAGAGGTTTGGACTTCATTAAATGCTAATGGCATTTAGGAATTTTCAGATGTTTGGAAGAGGATAGTCCCCATTTTTAGAAATGTTGTTGTCTTTGACTTGACTGTTTGTATTTTGCTCCTGAGTTATATTCTATAAGGAATGAAGGACTGAAACGTGGTTGTAAAATATATTTTTCTTAATTTGGCTAGCTTTATTTCTCACTTAACTTTTTGACTTTTAATTGTGTTGGTCACTAGCAGTCTCTGATAACTCTGAACACTTTCACCCCATTTTTTTGGCTAGCCAGAAAGAAGAGTGCATTTCTTGGAGCTACTCTTTCCCTTCTGATGTTTCATTTCCCCAGGATATATTTTATGTATCACATTGTACATTTCCCAGTACAGTGATTAGTTACACCTCTGAATATGTCAGGAGCTGGAAACATGGCTCTGCTTCCTTCCATCACTTCTGGCCCTTCGCATAATACAGAAAGAAATGAGCTGTTTCTTCTGCAAGCAGTGGAACAAATCAGTAGCAATAGTCTCTCATGCCTCATCTGTTCTCTTATGCTGAAGGAGAAGATGGGACCTGGATCAGTTTTTCATTTGCACATCTATTCTGGGAATAGATAATTTGTTATGTAGAAAGCTTAGTTTCAGCATGCAAATGTGTTCACATCCCGTGGTGGGACAGATTTTGCGTTACTGACACAACTGAAGTAAGGAAGCTCACGGTCTCATCTCGGCTGCTGTAGGTTCCCATAGCATTGGCATCTCGAGGACAGAGCTAGTACCAACTGATTCCAGTTAAATCCATCATCATTATCCTAATGCAGAATGTAGACAATTATTGGAAGGAGATATATCCAGAAAGTAAAGATTACAGTACACCAAGTCCCAGCGAGTAAGCAAGCATTCACTGGAAGCTTCCTGGAGGCCCATGATATCTCACTGAAACTTAGTGAATCAAACAGTTGGGCTGCACGTAACGGACAGTCTCTTTTTGCCCCCACTTCTTTAGACTAGTTGCTTCCACAGGAAATTTTTAAATCCTGAAGAAATTTGTATCTACTTTTAAATAAGAAATGTACCAAGAAAAATGTTGGAACTTTTCCAAATTGAAGCCACTCGAGAATCATGGGAATACTAAGACCCTGCTGGACAAAAGGAAGATTCGAAGGAAGAAAAAAGTTCTGTCACTGAATATCTGTATCACTGTTCTACAAAGGACAGTAATATAGCTGGGTATGTATGGTTAAAAAAGGCAAAAATACCAATCTGAATTTATGCAAGGACTTTTAAAAACTGTTTAGTGCCTATTTTCCCCATTTCTCTATAATGTGTAAGTGCCTGAAAATGTGAATGAAATCGAAGTTAATGAGAGCCAAAACATGGGAAAGAAGGAAGACATGAAGTTGTAGAATCATAGAATAATTCAGGTTGGAAGGGCCAGGTTGCCCAGGGCACCTTTAAGGACGGAGACTGCACAACCTTTCTGAGTCATCTGTTCCAATGCTTGAATGTCCTAAGAGTGGAAACCTCTCTTCTTTCAAGTCATGTTTTTTGTCTCGTCTTCCCACTGTTGTGTTGTGTCTCTGTGAAGAGCCTGGCTCCGTTTTCTTGATAACTTCCCCTGCCCTTTCATGGCAGAGGATGGAAAAGGAGATGCACCTGCCAGTAGAAAACTTTTGTGCTCTGGAGTAGCTAATCAACGTTCTCAGGCTCACTAAGCACTAGCTGGTGTAGCGAGGAAGCCAGCCTAAAGCTGTGCATCACATTTTTCAAAAATCTACTGTTGTACATACCCAGGTCCCGTGGAAGAGGGAGAGAGAATGGGAGAGAGATTACAAATTTTAATACAAGTTCAAAGGCAGCTAAGTATATTTCACTCTCTAAATCAGAACTTCGATCTTTGTAACTTTTAGGCTTTATTTAGCTCCAAGTAAAAATAAAGATACTTGAGTTATCAGGTATGTAACTACTAGTAGATTTTTTCTGAGCGTGTATTAAAGGGACAGTTCACTGGACTGAATAGCTAACATATATGGTAAAATAGTAAATTGCTACATGCCGTTGTTCAGAATGATGCACAGATGAGTGCCTATATTTCCCAAATGTTTTGCATGCCCATAAGAGAATTTTGCCTTAACTTCAATGGGTACATTTTAAACTGACGTTAATTTTGGCTTACATTTTCTAAATGTTAGTGGTTTCATTTTCAGTAAGCATGCTTATCAGCTCCAAAATATACATGCTCTTTTTCCATAAATTTTCATTTTTTATTAAAAACAAATAAATCTTTCATACTGTAATAAAGTGATAGAATTAAAAGAAGAAAAAGTATGTAAATGGAGAAATCAGATATTTATTTTATTGTGTCATACTCAAGGGCAAATGAAGTTGATGGCCCATTTTTTAATTGATATATTGATTACAATTTTGTAAGAAGCGGTGGTGGAATTCAGCAAAAATGATTGAGGTGGTACAAATGATTATAAATCTGTCCCACATTGTTCTATTGTTCGTGCTTTAATTTTAATTGTCTGATAAAACTTCCATCAGTTTCTGTAATTAACCTAATGGTCTAAATGAATTTCCAGATCACTGGTTATTCATTTCAATATAGAAAATGCCATTAAATTGAGTTTAATTAATACAAAGTAAGTTCACAGTCCATTGTATCATTAGA